GGCTGTACGATCGCCGTGACTCACCACCGCTGAGCTTCACCTGGATAACCTGGTGGAAGGAATTGCTTCTCCAGGAAAGTTACTCAGCTTTCCATGCTCTGGGAGGAAGCCATACAGCTCAAACTTAAGTAAGTGAAAAGTTACGCTGCACCGCTCGGAGGTAGTGACTACATAAATTCTTCTCCAAGGGTGATTTGTTTATTTTCCTCACTTATTTATTTAATCACTTATTTATACTAGTATGCACTCAAGGAGATTTGCTCTCCACTTTGGATTAGAATCCAATACTCCCTTATTTGTTTGCTCTAACACTGAATGCTCTTACAGTTGGCGCTTGTGTCTTTTTGACATGCCCACCATTGTGGCTTTTTCCCTCTGTTGTTGTTGAGTGTTTTCTTACTTTTGGGCCCTGAAAAGAAATTCTAGCTGGGTGCCACTGGCTCATGCCTGTAAGCTACTTAGGAGGTTGAGATCTGGGGATCACAGTTCAAAGTTAGCTTGGACCAGAAAGTACATGAGACTCTTATTACCAATTAACTACCAAAAGCCAGAAATGAAGCTGTGGCTCAGTGTGGTAGAGTGCTAGCCTTGAGCACAAAATCTTAGGGACTGTACCCAGAAGCCCACGACTGGTAAAAAAAAGAAATGAAAGAAAGAAAGAAAGAGAGAGGGAGGGAAGGAGGAAAAGAAAGAAAAAAAGAGAGAAAGGGAGGGAGGGGAAGAAAGGAAGGAAGAAGGAAGGAAGGAAGGCAGACTCACTTTTTCCTGTCCCTCAGTATTAGAGCTTACCATATCCCTAAGGATTCCTAAGGATCACTCATCAAAAGAGGTTTTAAAGAATTGTTTTGTTCAATCTCTACTTGTTTCATTGTCTTTGGTGGACATGATATAGATAATTGGTTTTTGCTTGGTTGATATTAAACCCATTTTTTACTTAAATTTTAATTTCTTAATATAGAGAAGTTTCAACATCTATAAATATGGCAACAAATCCTTATCCTGTTCAACGTACAGTAATGAATCCCTACCCAGCTTCAGAACCTCATGGTCAATTTTGTTTTATCTATACCTTGACCCACTTATCCCAAATGTCATAGTCATTTATTAGTAGACACTTGTCTTGTAAGCAATAATAAATAACTTTGAAAGTGTAAACTTGTTATGGCTAATTTGGTTGGTGATAGAGTTTGTTTGTTGGGTCAGTGAAGGCTTGAACTTGGGGACTGGATGCTGTCCTGAGCTCTCTTTGCTCAAGGCTAGTGCTCTACCACTTTGAACCACAGCGCCATATCCAGTTTTCTGGTGGTTAATAAGAATCACACAGACTTTCCTGCCTGGGCTGGCTTTGAACCGTGATCCTCAGATTTCAGCCTCTTGAGTAGCTAGGATTGCAGTCATAAGCCACCCAGAGCCAACTTAGTGATAGGGTTTTTATCCTCACCTCCACATTTGGCTAGCCTCTGTGACTATAATATGGCTGAAATGATGCTATTTGAGCTTGAAGATCCATCCTTTGAGACTTTCTGCATTTTGATGTCTTGGATTATTTCTAGAAACCTTGAATTTCATGTAAGTCCAGTTACTATGAAACAGCTGGGAACAGGCCTACGTGTACTTTTCATGGATACTCTCAGAGCTCAGCATTCCAGCCGTATCTGTGAAGGACCCAGATGTGTGAGTCAAACCATTCTGCATGATCCAAACCAGCCTATCTGCTGCTTTAGGTGATAACATGCAGAACACACAAATGGTCCAGCCTAGAGCTCTGCTAGCATTTCTGACACAAAACCAAAACCATAAAATATAACAAGAGGGTTATTATTTAATTTTCTATATTATAAAGTAGTCCTCTATGCAGAAACCGTCAGCTTATTTATTTATTTAGTTCCTGTACTGGGGCTTGAACTCAAGGTCTCATGTTCTTGCTTGGCTTTTATGCTCAAGGGTAGTACTCTGTCACTTGAATCATACCTCTACTTTTGGGTTTTTGCTGGTTAATTGGAGGTAAGAGTCTCATGATGTTTCTCGCTCCGGCTGGCTTTAAGCCTCGATTCTCAGAACTCAGCCTCCTGAGTCCCTAGGATTAGAGGTGTGACTCTTAAGTGTCCAACAAGCATTAGATTTTAAAAATGTGTGTACCCAGTGTTTCTTGATGGACATTCTACTTGTTGAATGTGTGACTTAGCCTATCATAAAAAGCTCTTTTTGAAATTATGTGACTCCATTTAGCACTTAAATAGGTGTGAGATTGCTTAACTCTTAATATTTAATTTATTTTACTTTACATTTACAACATTTATTTTTAATAGTGACTGTCATAAAATTTCTGAAAACTTAACTTCCTGAACTTCTGTTAGCCTAGTACATTCCTGATGAGTTTGTGATAATGTTACTTCAATTCTTAACTGGGTAGCATAGTTACATTACCTGATTTTGAAGTCAGCATTCAGTTAAAATTTTGACTCTGTGACTTACTAATGGTCCAATCTTAGGTAAGTTCTTTGATATCTAATCCTGTTGCGTTATATGCAAACTGGAAATAATTGTATGTAGTAAAAAAGGTATTTATTTGAGAGATGGAGGTAAGACTATTCTGGTTTGAGGCCACCCTGAGCAAATATTACAAAGACTCTATAAAAAAAAAAACCCCCACACACCATGGTTTCCCTTATTTGCGATATCTAGTATATGTATGAATGAAGCGGAAAAGGTCAGATAATGCGATGCTAGGAAAATGAACCCTTAGATATGTATTTTAATGTTTTTTTCTTTCATGCATTTGTTTCTAACGCATTTATAAGATTATTTCTTTGTTGCTTTGTATGTCCCTCCCCCACATTATAACCCCTGCTTTCACTATATTTGATGTCAGTATAACTTGTGGAGAAGATGGGGAAAAACAAGTTGTTTAAGGATACAGGTGGACCTGTTGCAACAATGAGAAGTACAAGTTGTCATGTCGAAAACGAGCTTTACAACGTTGGTGCGGGGGGGGGGGGGGGTGAGGAGGGGAGGATTGGGTGGGGGGGGGGTGGGGGGAGGCTGGGAAGGGATGTGAAGGGTAAACAAAGGAGGAGGCTGCAATGCTTGATAAGAAATGTAGCATTATCCTGCCCATGTAATTGTAACCCCTCTGTACAGTATGTTCACACACACACACACACAAAAACCCACACAAATGAAAGCAAAAGGGCTAGGGGTGTAATTCAAATGGTAGAGGACCTTCCTAGCAAGCATAAGGCCCTGGGTTCAATTCTCAGGATCACACACACACACACACACACACACACACACACACAGAGCAAAGTTGTTGTGAAGGATTGAGTTGGGGCAAATAGGAATTTTACATTGTCAACTCTAATGTTAGTTTTCTTATATGGACTTATTTTGGAAGTACTATTTTATTGAAGGAAATAAAAAGAAAGCCAGTGAATTATGCACTGGTGGCCCATGCTTGTAATCTTAGCTACCCAGGAGGCTGAGATCTGAGGATCATGGTTGAAAGCCAACCTGGACAATAAAATCCATGAGATTTTTTTTTTTTGTTGGTCATGAGTCTTGAACTCTAGGCCTGGGCTCTGTCCCTGTGCTTTTCAACACTTGAGCCACAGCGCCACTTCCTCCATGAAATTCTTATCTCCAATTAACCACCGAAAAGCCAGAAGCAAAAGTATGGCTCAAGTGGTAGAGCATTGGCCTTGGGCAAAAGAAGCTCAGGGGCAGTGCCCAGGCCCTGACTGAGTTCAAGCTCATTCTCTCTGTCTCTCTGTCTCTCTGTCTGTCTCTGTCTCTGTCTCTCTCTCTTCTTGGGCAGTGAGATTTGGGCATCTTTCTTCAGTTTTCCAGTGGAGGCTGCAGGCTTCATTTTCTCCAGATTTGTGAGGGGAGTGTGGATCTAGATAACATAAAGGTTTCTGCATAAAGATGTCAGTTAAAAAGAAACGCCAACTTTGCTAGCCTGAGGTTTCTGGATATGCCTATTCTTAGGTGAGTGGTTTGGGGGAGCATTTTATGGTCCCCTTTTGCAGACAGGATAACTAAAGATAAAAGTGGTTGCAAGGGGCCGCCAGCATCATAGTAGCAGGGCTGGAGAAAGAATGGCAGAAATATTCAGCCTCGCTCTTTGTTAATGGATTCACTCCAATACCCAGACCAGGCCAGTTCTTTCATTTTTCCCAAACCATACCCTTAAATGAGGCCTGTTTCAGGCAGAGACACTAATCCAGCCCTGAGGTGGAATAATTCCTCCTTAGTGCCCGCCTTTGATGTGCGGCTGATATGGAACCGAGTGCCAACATATGTTTGTACAAATATATTGGCAATGTAAGCAGCACACTGCTAATTACTACACTCCGAACCTCATGCGAAATCTGAAGGATGCCTCAAGGAATTTAAATCTAAAGGAATAATATATATTTTCAAATATGAGCAAAAATAGGTTAACTTCTTTGTGGTTGAAACTGGAAGACACTCCAGAATTACCTTGGCTTCTCCCCTCCCCCTCCCCTTTATTTTTTGGCAATAATGTGTTTGCTTTGGAATTCAGGTCAAAAAGTTGCTAGAAGAAATTGATGCATTTTGGACATTAAAAAGAAATGAAATGGGACAGCTTAAATTGAAAACAAAAGTGCTTTAATATTTTAGAAATAAAAAAAGGAGACATGAAAAATAATTGTTTTTTAAAATTTCAATACATCTTTATATGAAAAATAATTTTAAGTAGCCTCGACACACAAAATTAGAAAGCGATACAGACCAGAGGCCACAAATGAAAGCTCATTTGTGGGAAGGGAGCTGAGTTCCTGAATTGAAAAGGTGCTGAATCTTGTGGGAATTCTGTATGGTTGTCCCTACACTAAAGGTATTCAAATTCAAATCATTTTGGAGAACTACATGGGCTTAGCATAATTGGGAAAGTCAGAGTAGGCTTTTGTCTTCCATGTAGTGGTCTTCCACGAAGACAAAGTTCAAAAGATGGCTCTTTCATTAGTTTGATGCAGTTTTTTAAAAAAAAATAATTTTAATTTTTGACCTTGAATTATATGACTAGATTTCCCTTCCACATTAATTTTACTAAAGGGTTAATTAGATGATGAAACCAAATGATATTTCCATGTTTAGTGATGGGCAGAAGCATTTTGTCCGTCGGCTTTGGAAAACCTTGAATTCCAAATATGGACATGTTACAAGAAGTTTTTTAAAGAATATTTAAAGGTTTGCATTTTATGAAGATGTAGGGCAAGCAGTCTGGAATTTATCTAGAGACTGAGGAGCAGAAAGGCAAACCGCAGAGGTGGCTTAATCTCTTTCTGTAGTGTATTGACTTCTGTGAAATGGGGAAGCCAGGATGTTTCTGGGACTGTTGTGTTTATGTGGCAGGAACATCCAATGACTCATCTTGGTTGTCTCTAAGTCTAGATGTTAGTGGATTTAATATTTTTTATTTTTACTTATTTTTAATTCTACAAAGAAGTTTCAATTCAGCAATCAGTATAATACATACTGACCATGTCGTACTAGATATTCAAATTAAAGATTTTTGTTTTCATTTTGTTTTTAGTGAGTGTGTTTTTACCTCCTCCTCCTCCTCCTCCTCCTCCTCCTCCTCCTCCTCCTCCTCCTCCTCCTCCTCCTCCTCCTCCTCCTCCTCCTCCTCCTCCTCCTCCTCCTCCTCCTCCTCCTCCTCCTCCTCCTCCTCCTCCTCCTCCTCCTCCTCCTCCTCCTCCTCCTTCTTCCTCCTCCTCCTGGGCACTGACCCTTTGCTTTTCTGCTCAAAACTGGCACTTAACACCTGAGTCACACCTCCACTTCTGGCTTTTTGTTGCTTAATTGGAAATAAGAGTCTTAAGGTCTTTCCTGCCAGGGCTAGCTATGAATTGTGATCCTCGAGTCTCAGTCTCCTGGTCCTGGTAATAAAGAGCACAGGTGTACTAGTCTCTAGCTTATGGCTAGAGTTATAAGCAAGGATCCTGGATATCATTCTTGGTAAGTGCTGTTTTCAATCACATTAAATCTATCAGAAGCTTTTTGTCTGTTCAACTTCCAACATACATCATGTCTGGATGTGACACTTTTTTCTTCTTTTCTTTTTCTTTTTTTGTCAGTTGTGGGTCTTGAACTCTGGGCCTGTTTTTTTCTTCATTTTTTTTTTATTGGTACTCGCTCTCACTCTGTTCTTCAAGAAGTCAGAGAGATTCCTAAGAAAGCAAATAGCATCAAGCTATTTCCTGTTTTCCAGCCATTTATTTTCATATTATACTTAATAAATCCTTTCTGTGATATATTATATATAGTATTACTGGAAATGATTCCAAATTCATTGCAATATGAAGAGTTGAGATAGAGGCTTTAAAAAGAAGACTTTTTTCCCCCCCAGAAAAGCAAAATTTACTTTTATAGCAAAAGAGTATACAAATCAAAAGAATGTGTACCTGTGCTTTTTTTTATCCTGATGTAGTGAGCCCTTGTCCTCATCTGGATTGGTTAGGCTTGTGTTTACAGTCTCTCTCAATTGGCTAACATTCAACCTTTAAACTGAAAGAGTGGGAATCTTGATAGTGGACTTTTAACACATAAACAATCTAGTAGGAAAAGTCTGGGCAAATTTCACAGACATAGGGAGGAGGGCTCAGCCAAACAAGAGTACAGAAAAAGAACCTGGAACAGGGCAAATAAAAGTGGAGTCTTATAAAGAAATACAACATACTCTGATGGATAAAAAGCAGTCTCCTACAATCATCTCCCCACCCCACTTGCATTTTAACTCTTTTCTTCAAAGTCTTTTAGCAAGTTTTTGGATCTAATTATTGACCTCGGTGTCAACAGCAACTGATAGGATGTGTGGACCTGTTTTGTTAAAGTGGTTTTAATAAACCTGAGAATTAGCCCCCTGATACAAGTACGACACAGCATCCAATTAAGATGGTCCCCCAAGTCTGACGAACATGGGGTATCAATATCGGTTATTATGCCCTCCCATTTTCCTAAGCTATTGTTTTAACCATACAATAAGTGGGTCATTAATTCTAAAAATTTGGCTAATTCTTTGGTCATATCTGACAGGTCTGGTAAAGTCATATCTTTTTAAAAGGATGTAATGACATGGTTCAGGGTTGTCAATCAATAGAACACATGAATAAACAGTAGAAAGCTATCAGGAGGCAGGAGGTGGCCCAAAGGGAAGTCATCCAAGAGTGAAATCACTACAACAGCTGGATTGTATCCTTCGTCAAACACATGTAAATTAGACCCGAAAGGCAATTCCCATTGCTGGCATCGCAGTCGTTCTGCTGAGTGTGCAGTTCCCAATTTGATGAAGGTTAATACACTTCCATCATTTGAAATGTCAAAGTGGCAAATCCCCCCCAAAATGAATAGGTAGCAATTTAAAATTTAGAAATGGGGGCTGGGAAGGTGGCTCAGTGGTAGAGCGCTTGCCTTGCAAACATGAGGCTCTGGGTTCGATTCCTCAGCACCACAGAAGAGGAAAAAGCTGGAAGTGGCGCTGCATCTCAAGTGCTAAAGCACTAGCCTTGAGCTGAAGAGCTGAGGGACAGTGCCCAGGCCCAGAGTTCAGGCCTCACAGCTGGCAAAAAAAGAAAAAAAAAAAGAAAATGAAAAATGAATGGTTGGGCTGGGAATTGGCTTAGTGGTAGAGTGCTTGCCTAGCATGCATGAAGCCCTAGGTTCGATTCCTCAGTACTACATAAGCAGAAAAAGCCCAGACAGTGCTCAGGCGCTGAGTTCAAGCTCCAGGACTGACCAAAAAAAAAAAAAAATGTTTAATTGAAGTAGTAAAATAATTTTAATTACATTTGAGAAGTTTCTTTTTTAAAAAAAATTCTTTTTACAAATAAGTCAGGAATATATACTCTGGATGGGTTGAAAATACAAAACCTAGCTAACACTTGGTATTTGTTTTCAGATCAGTATACCCTGGAATTATCAGAAAGCAATGACAAATCATTTATTAAGCAATATCATTGCTTAATAAGATTCCTTTTGACCCTTTCAATCATCTGCTTTTCCTCTTTGACTTTTCTGAAAATAACTTGTTTACAGAGTAGTTAGAATATTGAATATTTTATTTGGCCTTGTCTTTTCTTTTCTTTTTTGTTATTCCTGGAGCTTGACTCAGCCTGGGTGTTGTCCCTGAGCAATTTCACTCAAGGCTAGTGCTCTACCACTTTAAGCTACACCTTCACTTCTGGTTTTCTGGGGGTTGACTGGAGATAAGGGTCTCTAGGACTTACCTGCTCAGGCTGGTTTTGAACTATGATCCTCAGATCTCAGCCTCCTGAGTAGTTAGGATTATAGGTGTGAGCCACTAGCACCTGGCTTCTTGTTTAGCTTTTTAGATCACAACTGGTGCTCTACATTTGAGCCACTCCTGCAGATTTGGCTTTTTGTTGATTAATTGGACAGAAGGGTCTCTCATATTTGTTTGCCTGGGCTGGATTTGAATTGTGATCCTCAGATCTCAACCTTCTGAGTAGTTAGGATTATAAATGCCATTGCTGTGATTTTGTTTTTCTATTTTGAATTGCCTTCACAATTTTAGCCCACAGTATCACTCATATTAAATTAACTTATAATAAAATAGACTTGCAATATTTGTTTTATTAATTAAATTCATTTTATCATTTTATTTAAGGGAACAGGTATGAAAGGCTAAAGAGTTTTACACTTGCTTTCTCTCAGACAGCAAGAAAATACTTTTATTTACTATTTTATTATTTTAATGGTTGCTTCCTCTTCTTTATCTTTAGTTAATTCACATTTAGCAGGCATGCTCATAAATGCTGGAAATGTCTTCCATGCTGTTTAAATTAATATTTAAAAAATATAATATAACAATATAATATATATTATTGAGCCTTTATTTGAATACTTTCAGAAAACTGAAAACTCTCATTCTGAGAGCTCTGTATGACATGTTTACAGATAGAACTGGGTGGTTAGCTATAACTGGAAGAGTTTATGAAGGACATGCTTTTCTATCTGTCCTTACACTGAACTTGCATGCTAATTGTTCACCTATCACTGATGTTCCAAAAAAGCCTTGGTGATGCGAACATCTCAAATGCATCCTAAAAACTGATTGAATATAACTTTGAGCCTGTAAATATCTATCTTTTTCTTTATCCAAAGATCCTTTCCATTTTTAAAATACTTTGCCTAGAAGGATTTTGATAAAACTGGAAGTCTTCAAATCTCTTGATTTCCACAAGGGTGTTTCACATCCAGTTATAAAGAAAGTGGCCAATGATCAATGATGAACACTGATCTCATATTCCTCAAGCTTTATGAGTCTATTATCTTCTAAAATCCATTTAGTATTTAAATCCAAACCAGTATTTTCTTTGGACTATCTAGAATATAAAGTACAGAGTATCTGAGAAGAGGTCTTTTGCTTGATGAACTGTAGCTATGCACTTCTAAAGCAATGTAGTTTGGTTGGATCTATTGGAAATGGCATAGATCAAAATCATTTAAACTACATGGAAATTGAACTGGAGATTGAATTTGCCTAATTAGCAAATACTATAATCAGCTAAAGTCATAGGAGCACACATTCATAAGAACACCCAAAGGAAAATGTTACTTCAATGGGAAATTGGATGGATGTTTAATATACCATTCAAATTTGTATACTGAAGACTTAAAAGAGAATTACAAGCTAGGATCTGGTGGCTCATGCTACTCAGGAGGCTGAGATCTGCCAGAGAGAGAAGGAAATTCTTGGAGATCTTATCTTCAATTAACTACCAGAAAACTAGAAATGGAGTTGTGGCTCAAAATGGTAGAGCACTAGCCTTGAGCAAAAATGCTCAGGGACAGTGCCCAGGTCCACAACCAACAAAACAAAACAAAGAGAGAAATGCAAAAACATCAGAGAGTGAATCATCAGAAAGAATGTTTATTTCTTCCTGAATTGATCATTTCCCAAGTGGTAATCAATAGTAGGAAAAATACGTGTATAGCAGAACTAATTAGTCATGGTGCTATTA